CCCAAACTCCCACTCACTGCCTATCGCTCGGCTGCCTATCGGGCAGATAAAGACCTGGGGAGCCGTCCGGCCCTTCCCTGGTACGAGTGGCCGCTGCCCTGAGCCAGGCCGCGGCTCGGGTTTCCCGCGGCCGATCCAGTGACCGCTCCAGGCCTGGAGCCACACTCGCATCACCCAGGCCACCGGCTGCCCTTGAGGAGGAAGGAGACTTGGCCTGGCGATTTCCATGAATACCGCCGCGTACCTCACCTCTGTCTCTCTGAACCCGGACTGCGTCCCTGTAACCAGCCAGAGCACCCTAAGGGTTCGGGGACTCGGCCGAAAGGGCCACCGCCTGCCATCGTTCCCCAGCCCTGCGCCTAACAGCTCAGCGCAGGGCTCACACAGAGGCTGAGCACGTGTCCTGTTTAAGCCTCGCACAGGGAGCCAGCACCTCAGGGCTGCGCTCCTCGGAGACGCCGCGGGAATTTCAGGAGGCTGGCAGAGTTTCCGAGCACACCACGGAATCCATTTTCTCCAGAGCCCGAGAGCAGGGGCAATGCTTACATTTCCCTCAGGGTATTTGCATCGGGTCCCCCGCGCTGCTCAGGGGGCACTGATTTACTTGTAAAATCCTTTTCTCCCTTTGGTTCCATGTCCTCCTGATTTGCATGTGGCAGCTGTGCCGGGCACTGCGGTCACTGCTAAGGGGAAGCGGGCGGTCATGGAAAATCCCTGCTGAGTGGCTGGGAACGCATCGTGATTATTAGACGAAGGAGCCCACCGGAGGCGGAGAGCGTTTCCGTGTAATCTGGATCCAGGCAACCGTCACCGCCTTCGGCTCATGGAACCTGCGAACGCAAGCTGAGCCGTCCTGCCCGCCCCCACACGGCCATGCAAAGTGGAAACCCCCCCCTGCATTCCTGCCATGGCCGCCGAAACCCGACGCCCAGGCCCGCCTCTCGGGAGCAGGGCCTGGCACGGAATGCTCCATCTGGGCACACCCCACGCCACCTGGCCAGCTGCTCTTTTTCCCTGGTCCCCTTTGGCCGGAGAATCCTGTTCCCCAACACCTGTGGCCTCACAGAGCCTGCCCCCTGCCCCCCTGCACTCCCCCTCGGGGGGCGTGGCAGAGGGCCAGCTTGGCCAGAGCAGATGACAACAAAGGAGCGGCTGGCAGGGCTGGGCAGCTTTGGGACAGGGGCCATCTGATCCCAAAGGAGGAAGCGGCTGCCTCTGGGGCCGATCCCAGCCTCCGGCTGAAGGAGCCTCGAGCAGTGAGACACCAGCTTCCTGGCTGCTCCCTCCTCCCCTATGTCACCCTCGGGGGAATTCTGCCCCCACCGCCCTCAGGACGGACACCCCCCACGCCCTCTGAGAACAGTGGACAGCAGCATCTTCTCTGGAAATGGATCCTGACAAGTTCCTTGTTTCCCAAACTGCTGCTCTGAGGAACCCCCACCCCCAAACAAGGTGCAAACAAGCGAGCCTCACCCCCACGCTGTGGGTGCTGTCCAATCCCTGACCCACTCCTGCTCCAGGATTCTCCAGTGTGAGGCTCCCCCGGGGTCACTCAGCCTGCGTCCTGGGGGGGGGGGGGACCTGGAGGGATGTCCGATGGACCAAGCCGGGCACCTGCCAAAGTGCGGAATCGGAGGCGGGAGACCGTGATTCTGGTCCAGAGCAGGCCTCCCATCTGCTCCCTGGCCCCAGGCACCATCCCTTCCAAGGGCCGCATTCCTTACCCTGCCCCTCACAGGAATGGGGGGCCCACACGAGGCTGGGGCACACGCTGCGCCTTTAGAGCAGACGGCCGTCTCAATGGAAAAGGCACTCCAGACCGTGGCACCCTCTGCACCATCGCCCTGGGGCCTGGCCCGAGGTGCCAGCTGGGGGCGAGGAGAGGGAGTGAGCCCACACACTGCCTCCGTGGGCAGGGCCCGGGGCCAGGCCTGGAGAAACAAAGCTGGCGGGAGCCCTCGAGCTCCCACAGGTGAGGGGCCCCTCCGCGGGGCAGGTCCCGGTGTGGGGTCCCAGTGACAGGCAGGGGTGAGGATGGCCTAAGGGGGCACCTGCTGGGCCGGGAGCTGCCGCTGCCCCTGGAGCAGCCCACCCGGCCTCCTGCAGCTACAGGCCGGGCCACGGGGCCCGCGAGCCCGGGCAGAAACCGCACTGAGCCTCAGAGCTGGGCCGGAGGCTGCGGCCGCGCTGTTTCCGTCCTCGGTGCTTTCCGCACGCGGTTACGCCGTGGACACCAGCCTCTGCCGGCGTGCGGTCACAGGCAACGGGGAACCGCGGAGGGAACGTGCCCGCGCCGCACGCCCAGACCCTGAGGATGCTTCACCCGGACACGCGGACACACGCAGCACTGAGTGCCTGTCCCACCGCTGGCTCCGGGCCACGGCAGCGGCCCAGCACAGAGGGCGCTGCCGTGGCCCCGGGGCCCGCGGTCGGTCGGGGAGAGCAGAAAAGAACAAAAGAGGACAAAACATTCTGCAATCTGCCCCACGCGGAGCAGAAAGGCGGCGTGCGGGGTGGCAGGGGCCGGGCGGCAGCCTGCCATCGGCCGGAGCAGCTCCGGGCTGCTCGCCCCGCCGCTGGGGGGCGCTGTGGCAGGTGGCGGAGCGCGGCGATGGCCGCCCCTGTCTGCCACTTGCTCCATGGCCATACCCCTCTGCTGAAGAAAGCACAGCTGAGCTCATCCTGGGCTCCCTGCCACGTTTGTCTCAGACGTGCTGGGGTCGCACCCGCCGGGGGGCACGGGTCTGCCCTTCGCCCCCTGCTCCTGCCCCGGGGGTATGTGCCAGGCAGCCAGCAGCCCGCCTGCCACGCCCCGAGGCCTCTGCGGGCTCCGGAGGGCCCTCTGCCGCGCTCAGGCCCGCCTCTGCCTCTCCCGCCGCCCCGGCGGCCCCTCCGCGAGGAAAGCACAGCTGAGCTCACCCTGGGCTCCTGCCACCCACAGGCCCAGTGCACAGGCTCTGCCTCACTTCCAGGCCAGAGGCAGGGCCCGGGGACCGTCCAGGGCAGGGCCCTCAGCCCAGCAGGCTGAGGAGATGAGCCGCTTTAACCGCGTGGCTCTCGGGAGACACCGCCGTCTACTCGCAGCACACAATCGGGGAGCTGCGAGCTGGAGTCCAAATGAAGTCTGCCTTATTCTTTCCCACCAAGAGCCATTCCGTCAGGTGTGAAACTCTGACCCTACTGCCAAATTGTCACGCATAAAAGGCACTGGATCTGAAAGGAAGGGAGAATAGTTGTACCTGAAAGCCCAGTTCAGCCAGAGTCAATCACCACTTACGGAGCACCCACTGTGTGTTACTAGGGGCCGGCACACGGAATTCCCGCGAGAGCGGCTTCCTTCCCCCGGCCCGGCTGCCCCGAAGGTTACCCGTCTAATTAGCATATCACGCTTTTCTCATCGCAGGTGCCTCTCACCCTCCAGAAATCTCAGTGGCGGGTGCGGGGGTGGGGGCACTGAGCGGGAGAAGTGACCAGGGGGTGAGGGCGGAGAGACCGGCCTGTGGGCACTGCCGGGGACCAGGTGGGCGGCGAGGACGCGGGCTGAGGGCTGAGCCCCCGGAGCCGGGAGCTCGCTGCACAGGAGGCGGAGCTGGAACCTGTGGCAGTGGGGGGGGGGGGGGGGTGTCAGGAGGGCCGGACACGGAGACTCGGGTCTGACTGGAGGCCCGGCACCTCAGTGACCGCCGAGCACACCTTCCGTCACCGGCAGGCCTGGCTCCAGGGTCACGGAGAGCGTGACCTTCAGGCGCCCAGACCCTGGCCAGCACATGGGGTTACGTTCACGCTCTGAGCCTCCACCAGTGAGAACAGCCTCCCCGCAGGCCGAGTGAGCGTGACGCCAGCTAAGCGGCGTGCCCCCGCCTGAGCCGTGACCCCAGGGAGCGGGGGACGGGCCTGGGGCCCTGTGGTTGGAGCCAGACAGGGCGGGGCAGCCCCAGCTCGGGTTCGGGAGCCGTTACCTGCCCCTCCTGCCCCGGCCTCCTCGAGGACGGGAAGCACGTGTGCCCGTTAGCAGGCTTGGCCATCAGCCCTCCGCGCCGGCTTTGACTGCGGCATGTCATTCCGGAGGCACGCGGAGCAGCGAGGGGCCGGCCCCTGGGCCCCGGTGCCCCCCACCAGGAGCCAGAACAGCCAGGAAGCCTGCCGGGGGGACCCTGAGCCCGAGTGCCCAGTAACTGTCCCGGAATTCCTCTCAGGGACCTTCCACCTCCCCGGCCTGGCCCTCCTCCGCCTCCTCCAGGCCAGCCGGCCGCCCCCAGGTCCACAGCAGCCTCTGCCTCCCCAGGGGCAGCATCGCAGCTGGGGCTCCGGGGAGGGCCCCTCTCTACACGAGCTTCGCAGCTACACGTGGGTCCCACGGGTGCAGACACGCACAGAAGGCACCTCTGGTCACAAGGAGGGGCCCCCTGCCCACCCTCTGCTACGGCAGCCCCACCCTGCAGGCTCCATTCCAGGACTCCTCCCACCCAGGCCCCTCGCCCCGCTCCCCAGCCCCGGCTCCGAGTCCCCAGCAGGACCCAGCTCCCTGCCAGGCCGGCAGGAGGACTTCCCGGGGCGGGGCCTCCCCAGGAGCCTCAGCTCCCCGGGGGATGCTGGGCCTGCCGCTGCAGCTCTGAGGGCACCGGGCTGGACGTGGCCTGAAGGAGCACGTCCTCCTTCTTGAAGGCATAGAATGGGACTCCTCTTTTAAATCGCTGTATGTTATATGAACTTCCTTGTCTTTTAAAGTTGTATACCCTGAGTGTGTTGTTTGATTTTGATGCTGATCCTTCATGCACTCGGAGAATGGAGGGTAGGACAGCAGCTCCCAGGGGAGGAGGGAGTGGCCAGGAGGGGGAGGAGTCCCGGAAGCGAAGCCTGTCTGGGGGGGGGGCTGTGTGGAGCCTGGACAGGCAGCAGGGTGTCCATCACCCTGAGGGAAAGCCTGTCTGGGGTCAGCACCACCCAAACCTGAGACTCTTTCTCTAAATCCAGCCTGAATGACAGCGTCCGGCACCTACCGCCTGAGCCATCGACTCCCTGAGGAAGAGAAGGCCGGCCGTTTTATATCACTCCGTCTTCACTCTGGCCCCGGCCCTCCCGCTCCTCCTCTGCCTCCAGCTCGGCCACCATCCTCCCTGCTTCCTCCTTTGGCTTTGGTCACGACGTTCCCTCGTGACTAAGCATCCCTCCTTCACAAATGCTCTCAAGGACCAGCCTGCATTCCGGGGATGAGTGACTCATTCCCCCTCCCTGTGCGTTCAGACCGCCTCCAGATTCCACTTTATAAATAAGGTGCGGCGAACAGCCCTCCACAGAGACCTCTGGGCTGCAGAGTTCGTGGCTCCCTTGGGGAAATTCCTAAAAGTGGAATCACCGTGATAAAGAGATGATCTTGCCAAAACCGGGTTGGCTCAGTGGATAGAGCGTCGACTTGCAGACTGAAAGGTCCCAGGTTCGATTCTGATCAAGGGCATGTACCTTGGTTGCGGGCACATCCCCAGTAGGGGGTGTGCAAGAGGCAGCTGATCGATGTTTCTAACTCTATCCCTCTCCCTTTCTCTCTGTAAAAAATAAATAAAATATATTAAAAAAAAAAAAAGAGAGAGAGAGATGATCTTGTAAGGATGTGGGGACGGTTAGCCACACTGCCTGGCCGAGGGCTGTGCCTCCACTCCGGCGGGCTCAGGAGCGTCCTCGCCGGCCTCCCACTGGCACCGAGTGCCATCATCCCAGAACGATAAGCCGAGAGCGGGGGCGGCGTCTCCCTGGACGCGCACCTGTTTGTGACGATGGCTTCCTCACTCACTGCCCGTCTCCTCTGTGATCCACACAGGACCTTCCCTCCCCTCCCACTGGGATTTCACCTGTGACAGTTCTTCCATCAATTTTCAGAGTTCCTTGGGTGAGAGGGGATTTGCCATAAAGGTTGCAGGCATTTTTGTTTATTTATTTTTTGCATCTGATCAAGGGACTGTTGGCTGTGTTTGGGGTTTTCGTTTGCATACTAAAGGTCTTATTCCCCCTGATGAGTTATCAAAACTTTTTTGACCTTGTGGCTTCTGCCTCCCGTACCATGTTTCTCACCCCACAGGGTCTTAAATACTTACCTAAAGTAAACTTAGTGATTTAATTTTTACATTTAAAATGTTAATGCACATGGAATATATTTTGGGGTTAGATATTGAGAAACCTGATGGTTTCCCATGTGGTTAAATATTAACCAAATCTACTCACTTCTATTTTCCAGACTTTTATATATATTGATTTATTGATTTCAGAGAGGAAGGGAGAGAGAGAGATAGAAACATCAATGATGGACAGAATCATTGATTGGCTGCCTCCTGCATGCCCCCCACAGGGATGGAGCCTGCAACCTGGGCCTGTGCCCTCAACTGGAATTGAACCCAGAACCCTTCAGTCTGCAGGCCGATGCTCTATCCACTGAGCCAAACCAGCCAGAGCTTCCAGACTTCTTAGCCTGTTCCATGGATAGGCTTTCTACTCCCATCCCAACACCAAAATGTTTATCCTATTATAAATGTATGGTATGTCCTTACATCTGGTAGGTTATGGTGGGTGGTAGCGTTAAATCCATGGATTAATTTGGGAATGACCTAAATATTTAAAATATTGACGCCTCCCACCCAGGAACCTGCGAAATGTCTCCCTTCACCACGCTCTGTGTGCCCCTGCAGCACCTTCCCGCCCAGCTCTGGGTCTGCCGGAGCGACAGCTCCACATCACACCCACACTTCCCGCCTCGCTCACGGCAGAGGTGCCCGCACACACTGGGCGTGGAGCGGTCTCTGCAGCGCCCCCCGCTGAGCACAGTGGTTTCAGGGCCTTCGTGAGTGCTCGCCCCTGCGGGCCCCAGGGCCCTGACCCCGGAGAGGCGCCGGCACCTCCCGCGGCCCAGCGGCAGCCCATTCCTCTGAAACCCTCTGCCCCGAAAGCCCTCCTCACCGGCATGGCCTGTCCCTCAGACAGGGCCTGTCCTGCGCAGGCCAGACCCCTCCTGGAGACGCCTCTCCCGCTTCCTGCCTGTAGCCATGACCGCACTCTCCTAGACCCACGCACACGGGCCATCCAAATCCCCTGTCCCGATGGCCCGGTCCCAGTCTAATCATGAGAAGATTAGGCTCCGCACGTCGGAGGGTGGCTGTGAGGCCCCCCCAGGCCGGGGCCACGGCTCCCGTGGCGGGGCAGCGCCCCCGGCTGCAGCAGTGCGTTCTGACAGCCTGGCTGCAGGGCTGGCAGGCTCGCGGACACAGAGGGTGGTGCCCGCTCCGAGCCACCAGGAGGAAGTGCTCCGGCGGACGGCGAGGCCCAGCGCGGAGGACAAAGGAGCGACTGTGCCTCCGGTGCCATGGGCGAGAGCCAGCCCAGCCCCGCGCCCTCGGAATCTCCCCGACCAGGTCTCGGGCTCCTCCCTCCACAGGAAGGAGGGAGGCCCAGCCTCAGGAATCAAAACTGCCTCCGGCCCGAAGCACTCAGGGGAAGGCCGAGGCGGTCAGCCCGGCCACACAGCAATCCGCCTGCCAAGCTTGTTAAACACAAACTGCAGTCCCGTCCAGCCCCCTGGGGGAGCTGGGAGGAGGCCCGGAGCCACAGAGACACACCTGCCACCTGCCACGGCAGGGGGCCCAGGCACCAGCCTCCACCTCCCAGGCCCTCCCTGTGCAATGCGTGCCGACGAGCTAAGAAGGAAACCGGCATCTGGCAAAGGCTCGAGGCCAGGACTGGACTGGGAAAGCACTTGCCACATACAATCTAATCCCCTCAGCAAACCTGGACGAATTACGACTCCAACCTAGCGCGGGGGACACGCACAGCTGTGTAAGTCTCATCGCCCAGCGACCAGCTGGGACTGGGACCCAAAACAAAAACTAGCACCCATATTTGAGAAAGCCAACCTTGGCTGGTTTAGCTAAGACTCTGAAGGTCCTAACATCTCCCAGCATGCCCCTCTCAGGGGAGCCTAAGCCCGAGGCACCCCGGGACTGGTCCTGAGCCCGCCTCACTGAGCGGCACCACGCTAGCTGGAGTCTCTCAGTTCCCGGCCTCTCCTGCCGCCCTGCGCCCGGCACTGCCAGCCACGCCAGTGAGTGTCCCTCCCCCTCCACACACCGCCGCCCCCCGTGGCTACCACTGTGGCCGCTCAGACAGTCCCACAGGCGGGAGGACCCTCGGCCACACTTGGCTGGGCCCTGGGCACTCTGCCTTCATGGGCCCTTCTTCCATTAAAAATAAAAAGCGTGTGTTACAATTGCATCAGTACACAGATTAACATATTCCTATATACTAAGACACTTTCTTTGACCTTCTCATTTTGCAGTAAATGAAAACACGTTTGTGGGTCCCTGAAACGAGTATGGACCCTCGGCACAGTGCCTCCCTGCTGGCCCTGCCCTCGGCCCCGCCCTAAGGGTCCCCAGAACCGCCCCCGCCATGGCAGACCCAGCCCAGGTCTGGCCGTACCTCTATGACCCGGGAACCTGCTGCCCTGACCGTCACACTAGCTGCCCTTGTGACGATCCGTCTGCAGCTACTGCTCAGATGTGAGTCCCCCAGGGACCGCGGTTCTGTGTGCTGAGAAAACCGACAGGAGGAACGGAATGAGCTTTTATGGCGAAACTACGGGGTGATCTGACAGGTCTGTGAGGGGCTTTCGTCTGGCTTTCTTGCCGTCATATATCTCCTATTCGGATCGACTCCACACCAGCTCCCTCTCACTGGCGATGAGGAAGCCAAGGGGAGACTCGCTCCCGGGGGAGGACATGCCTGAGTCTCGGAGCCTTATCCGAGGGTCCTGGTGGAAGAGAGGGCGTGGAGTGCCCCACGGCCCCTACGTGGCTACACAGCCTGTGGCATCGAATGCCATGGCTCCGAGGGGGGAGGGCACTTCACGGGCTTTGTAAGGAGTGCTGATGCCTGAGGATGCTTTTGGTGCCTGAAAGCTAAGAAAAAATGCAGAATTAGAGAAAATCAGGCCGTCACTAGTCATCGGAACGCTGACCCTGCTACATCTTTTAAATGTGTCTTTGTGTTTGGTTACCATTTTTTTAAATGTGTTTTTATTGCCTTTCAGAGAGAGAGGGGAAGGGAGAGGGATAGAGAGAAACATTGATGTGAGAGAAACATCCTGCACGCCCCCAATTGGGGAATTGTCCTGACTGGGAATTGAACCTGTGATCTGGTTCATGGGTTGACACTCAACCACTGAGCCACAGGCAGCCCCTCAGGACACAGGTTGGTTACTTTTTGGACCACGTTCTCTTCACTCACATGGGGTGTTGTGTGTGTGTGTGTGTGTGTGTGTGTGTTGTGTTACAGTTTTGTCCTAAAAAGAAAACATCTGAGAGTAGAAACCACACTTGGTCTCATCCCTGGAAACAGCCTCACTGCAGAAGCAGTACAATCCCAGCACCCCCTGGTGGAACCTGCTTCAATTGCAGGCAAAGTGCCCTGGAGGAAACAGCGAACTGCAAAAGGGCACACCCATATTTTTGAAGGGCTACAAATATTCAATCTCTAAGCACAGATCCTTAGCTTTTTACATGCGAACCCCTGATGCACAATCATTATCTGAAAGGGGATCAATCTGATGTCACAGACACCAGATTGGGCAGGTTATCATCTTTCTTTTTTTATTTTATATTTTATTGATTTTTTACAGAGAGGAAGGGAGAGGGATAGAGAGTTAGAAACATCGATGAGAGAGAATCATCGATCAGCTGCCTCTTGCACACACCTCCACTGGGGGTGTGCCTGCAACCAAGGTACATGCCCTTGGCCGGAATCGAACCTGGGACCCCTTCAGTCTGCAGGCCGACGCTCTATCCACTGAGCCAAACCGGTTTTGGCAGGTTATTATCTTTCAACATGTGTAGATGTCATCTAGAAGATCCTCAAAATTCAGTGTCTTTCTGTTCACATATCTTTCCTCCTTGGTAGATTGTGAAGATATAACCACTTTCACTGAAAGGCTCCCCAGACTGCTGATGCTACAAGGACCCTCACACTCAGACAGACTAGGCCTTA